AAAACAAAACAAAATCATCTTTGAATATCTTGAGTGGTTAAAATATGTGATACACAGAAAAGGAAATAATATTCAGCCATAAAAAGAGTGAAATACTGTCATTGATTACAATATAGAATGGTCTACATGCCCATAGAATAAGCTATGGGTAAATGAACTGTTTTCTCATGGTGCTTATGTGCTGATATAAATCATAAAAAATATTTTTTTGATGAAACCAATGATTATTATATGCTCTCAAATTTTGGGGGTATTTTCTGAGGAAGATCATCACACAGGCTGTTGATATTTTGTTTCATCACTGAGGGTCATTTCAGCATTTAGGAGTTTCTCAATCTTTTTTTTTTTTGTTCCTGTATTTTAGAGAAAGGTCTACAGGGTGTTTAGGGTCTCACTACTAGATCAGACTCTCAGTGATCTGCCTGTTTACAGTCTCCCAAGAGCTGAGATTGCAGGCACGCGCCACCACACCCAGTCTCAATTGCCATCTCAGCGCATCCCAGGGATGGGGCCAGCACAGCAGACCTGGGGATCGAACCCCCGGCCCCTGTGCCTGCTTGCAGGTGCTTTAATCCGCTGAGCTATTTGGATGGCCTGAGTTTCTCAGTCTGTAGCAATATTTCTTCTAAACACTAGGACCTCGCTGCATAAATTACCCTTTCCTATTTAGCAAAAATTTTATTTGCTATGTGCTCCATTGTTTTGTATGCTCTCCTTAATGTACAATTTTCATTACAGTTCTATATGGTAGGTAATATTAATTTCCATGGTTTACAAATGAGGCATTCATTAACTCACCTCTAGTTGTGAGGCCCATAGGAAGGGGATGCAGGCTGGAACTCAGAATTTTAAGTACCTGCTCATCCCCTCTAGATCAGAGGGGAGAGATAGGCCTTTTCCTTCTTGCATTTGAAATTTTAGGATTATTTACAGATTTAGGGACAGAAGGAAGTCTGCCCATTTTGGACAGTGGCTTCCTTCTGCAAGCTCCTCTATTCTATATATATATATATATATGATTAGTCTTTCCAGATTTTCTGTAAATATCTTTTTCTTTTTTTAAAATTTGGTTCAGGGTCTCACTATGCAGCTTGGACTCTCAGTGATCCTCTTGTCTCAGCCTCCTCAGCCCTGGGATTGCAGGCAAGTGCCACTATGCTCAGTTTTGGACCAGCACGGTATGACTGGGGTTCCTGGGTTGACATAGCCTGTGGTACCGGGGCTCGAACTCAGGTCCTTACACTTGACAGGCAGGTGCCTGGACCACTGAGCTATCTCCCTAGCCCTCTATAAATATCTTGAAGCAAGAAGTTGGCAAACAGCTGCACTTGGTCAATATAAGTGAAACAATGGTTTACTGCAGATTCTGAAATTGTTGGGTCAGTTTACACAAGGCTAGGGATTTCCCCCTCTGTTTGGGACTGTGTAATAGTTTAAATTGGTCTTTTATAAATGCCTAATTGTATTCTGAACAATAGGATCCCTGAACAATAGGTCATAAAGTGCTGGAATAAAAAAAATTCTGGGGGCAGCACTGTTTAAAACCTAGAAGATTCAGTATTTGTGAATCACAAGGAGAAAGTGAAGTGTGTAAAGTACAGTAAATTGTATATTCATGTAGGTAGCAACGTGACATTTATACTTGATAATTCTCCTATGTCATGGGAACTTTTCTTCTTTCTTTCTTTCCTTTTTTTTTTTTTTTTTTGTTGTACCTGGCATTGAACTCAGGACCTGACACTTGCTAGGCAAGTGCTTATTCTACTGAGCTATCTCTCCGGGCTGGGAACTTTTCATTATTTGAAATTGCACTGCTCTTCAGGAGCTTCTGATCTGTATTCTTGCATTCCCAATCTTTGATGACTAGAACCTTCACCAGATGCCCAACCTTCCTTTCTGTGCCCCAAATATTTCCTGACTGGTCCAGGAATCTTTCTAAAATCCAGAAGCCTTAGTGTTTGTTTTTTTTTTTTAGATAGAACTCTGGGCTCATCTTCATTCATCTGTATCATTCAGGGATGAAGTTTACTGAACAGCCATAGTACATAGTTTCTCCACTGAAATTTTAATGGACCAACAGGTACATGAAAACTAATGTCCATCTCATTTTTGTGCTTGTATTTTGAGTGAAGAGCTTGCTTAGCATGGAAAAAATTAAGTTAAATTTGACCAGTGCTTGGGCCTCGTTTATTTTATCTGGGAAAGAGTTCCCCACGTTGGTTAAGCCTGAGCAATACTGTTAGTTGGTTTGTACTCCTTTGCTCGGGCCTGCCGTACCAGAGTGCCTTGACTTGGTGGATGAAGCAACAAAAGTTGGTCTTACTAGCATTCTGGAGGCTGGAAGCCTGTGGTCAGAGTGTCAGGAATGTGGGCTTCTCCTTGGCTTATAGCTGGCCATCTTCTTCCAGTGTCTTCACATGGCCCTATGACTGTCTTCATTGTCTTGATGTAAGCCATATGGATTAAGATCACTCTAACAATGTCATTTTTAATTTTTTTTTTTATTTATTTGAGAGAGAGAGAGAGAGAGAGAGAGAGAGAGAGAG